AAGTGGAGGGTCACTGATAAAGAGGAAGGCACTCAAGGAGATGGAATGGTACAGCAGCTGAAACAGTGGACTCTAATATAACAATTGTGAAGCTGGAGCAGGACTGGGCAGTGTTTCATTCCATTGTGCATAGGGTCGCTATGAGTGGATGTCACCTAACAACAGCGACTATTAACCACTCATGTATCCTTGGTAAGATAACTTTTGCTTATTTTTATTTTTTTTTAATGTTTTGCATTTTATTATCTGATTATTTCTCCCAGTCTGTGGTGTGTCTTTTCATTTTGTTATAATTTTGACAAAGTCCAATTTATCAGTTTCTTCTTTAATGGATTTGATTATATGTCTAAGAATACTTTGGTCAACCCAAGGTCATGGAGATTTTCTCCTGTGGTTTTTTTGTTTTCCTGCAAGTTTTAGAGTTTTTTAATTTAGCATTTACACTCTGGTATCTGTTTTGAGTTCATTTTTTGTGTGTGTTATGAGCTTTAATTTTTGAGGTTCACATTTTTGGCTGTTGTGTAAACATGAATTCATTCCCAAACCTGAGACTACGGTTCTTGGAAAGGATCGCTTTAAAGGTTGGGTCCATTAAGAATGTTTCACTGTGTTTAAAGTGAGACAGTAACGGTTTACAAGTAGAACCCCCACTTGTGATTTTGGGGACACAGTTTCAGTTCTTGGCCAATGCACTCACCCCATGTGTAGTCACCACCCATTTGGCAGTGGAGGCTTGTGGGTAGCTTTGCTAATAAACAGGTTTTAGGGCAGCTTCTAGACTAAGACAGACTGGAAGAAAGACCTGGGGATCCGTTTCCAAAGAATCAGCCAATGAAACCCCGTGGATCACCACCATTCACAGGGATGTCACCGCACCAGACTGCATTTTATTTTGCTGTGCGTGGGTGCCAGGAAGCGTTAAAGGCCAAGTCATCAACAGCTAAAAGCAACAGCTGTGTGTACACGGTTTGTTCAAACAGTGTGGTGTATGCTGAATGCCTGCTTCCTTCTCAGAGTCTGGAATATTGGAGCATTCTAGGCAGAAAGGTGCCTATGTGCCCAGCATCCAGCTAAAATCCTGGTCACTAGTTTCTGAAGGGTTTTCCTGGGAGACAACATTTCACATGAGTTGTAACAGCCCATTTCTGAAGGAACTAAGTGCAATCCTGTTTGACTTCATTGGGAGAGGACTCTTAGAGGCCCAGACCTGGTTTCTTCTGGTCTTTGCCCCATGGGCTTTTTCCCTTTATCAGTTGTGCTTTGTGTTTTTTTCACCATAATAAATCATAGCCATGCGTATAACTATATGCTGAGTCTTGTGAGTCACCCTGATACACTTGTTGTTGTTGTTGTTAGGCGTCATCAAGTCAATACTGACTCATAGTGGCCTGTGCACAACAGAACAAATCTATGACTGGTCCTCTGCCACCCTCACAGTCATTGCCACGCTTGAGTCCTTTGCCACTGCCACTGTGCCAATCCATCTCACTAGGAGGTCTTCTCTTTTTCTCTGACCCTCCACTTTACCAAACATATCTTTCTTCAGGGACTGGTCCCTCCTGACAATATGTCTAAGGTATGAGAGATGAAGTCTGGTCATCCTGACTTCCAAAAAGCACTGTGTTTGTACTTCTTCCAACACGGATTTGTTTGTTCTTTGACAATCCATGGTACTTTTAATATTCTCCTCCAGTATCATAACTCATGTATGAATTCTTCTATGTTCTTCCTTATTCACTATCCAACTTTCACATGTATATGAGGTTGTGGAAAATACCATAGCTTGGATCAGGCACACCTTAGTCCTCAAAATGACATCTCTGCTCTTGAACATTTCAAAGAAGTCTTGTGCAGCAGATTGGCCTAATGCAATACGATGTTTGATTTCTTGACTGCTGCTTCCAGGAGTGCTGATGGTTGATCTGAACAAAGTAAAGTCTTGGTGATAACTTCAATCTGATCTCTATTTATCTTGATGATGTTTATTGGGTCCAGTGGTAAGGATTTTTGTTTTCTTTACTTTAAGGTGCAACCCACAGTGAAGACTGTGGTCTCTGATTTTCATTAGGAAATATCTTAAGTTCTCTTCACTTTCAGCAAGCAAGGTTGTATCATCTACATATCACAGGTTGTTAATGCATCTTCCTCCAACCCTGATGCCTTCTTCATATAATCCAGTTTCTCAAATTATGTGCTCAGCATATAGATTGAATAAATATGGTGAAAGAATACAACCCTGGTACACATTCAGTGTTCCCTAGTTTTAAACCTTTCAGTGTTCACTTGTTCTATTCAAACAACTGCCTCTTGACCTATGTACAGGTTCCTCCTGAGTACAATTAAGTGTTCCAGAATACTCACTCTCTGCAATGTTGTCCAAAGCTTGTCATGATTCACACAATCGAAAGCTTTTGCAAGTCAATTAAACACAGGTAAATGTCTTTCTGGTAGTCTTTGCTTTCAGCCAACATCCATCTTACGTCAGCAGTGATATCCTTCACTCCATGTCCTTGAACCTCTGACAGTTCCCTGTTAGTGTACGATTGCAGCCGTGTTTGCATTGCTGACATGCTTTTGGCTGTCCATATCCAGTAGCTTCAGCAGTATTTGTTGAAAGACAATCCTTTCGCCTCTGAATTTTCTTGATACCTTTGTCAAAAAAAAAATCAACTGACCATATATATAAGGATTTATTTTTAGAATCTGTTCTGTTCTATTTCCTGTCCTTAGGCCAATACCACACTGTTTTTATTACTGTGGCTTTATTAGTAAGTTTTGAAATTGGATAGCCTAAATTTTTCAGTTTTCTTGTGTTGGTTTTTGTTTTTTTCAAAATTGTTTTCACTTTCCTAGGTCCTTTGCTTTCCATATAAATTTTAGGACTAGCATATCCATTTTTATTAAAAAAAAAAAAACTTCTGGGATTTTGATTGGGATTGTGGTGAAGCTGTAGATCAATTGGGGAAAATTGACATTTTGATAATGGTGAAACTTTTAGTTCATAAATGGAAGGTCTCTTCATCTAATATCACACAGCAATATGTGATGGTTTGGTTTACATGTTTTGCATTTCTCTTGTGAAATTTATTCTTAAATCCTTTGTTCTTTTTGGTATTTTTGTGGATGGGATAATTTTGTTTTTATTTTTTCATTTCAATTTAAGATTATTCATTGCCAGTAGGTAGAAATACAGTGGGTTTTTATATTGCTTCTATGACTTGTAGCGTAGTGGTTACGAATCGGGCTCTGGTAGCGTAGTGGTTACGAATCGGGCT